GTAAATGTGGCAATTTTTGTTGCTTAATAACTTTAAAACGTGTCTTTTTACAACAATGTATGTCAAAAGTTAAAAAAACTCAAGGGCTATACACCTTACAATTTAATTTTTTTTTTTTTAACTATATTTATATTCTATCGCTACTAGTGCACACTTATAATTATCGCGCTAGTAACATTGAGTTGATATTTTGAAATTATTATTATTTTTAGTTAATAAAAACAATTTTTCTCACTTTCTTAATTAATATTAATGACTAACATCAAATTTTCGTAGTTTCTTAGTTACTATTGATATTGTTTTTAATATATATATTTTTTTATATTTTATTTCATTTTATTTTGTCTATTTTTTATATACTTACTGCTATTATAAGATTTTCTTTAACATTATTATAAAATTGAGTTGCGCTCCTAATTGTTTTGTATTGGTGCGGTAGATTGTTCCATAACCGGTTACCATTTATGAAAAATTGCCTTCTCGAACACAGTGTTTGCATTCGAGGACATATGAAATTTTTGGTTCTTAAAGATGTTGCTGGGGTAAGCTTATTAAAAAGATAATTTGGTGCTCAAATCGTCTCTATTTTGTGAAAGAATACTAAAGTTCTAAAAGCTATAGTTAATGTGCGCATATCCCGCGCATCACAATTTCCAAAAATTTCTATGCCGTAAAAGAGAGTGGGCATGAGAATAACTTTGGCGATTAATAATCTAACTTCCTCAGTTGAGAACGATTAAGAGAATGAAAGTTTTCTCAACAGAGCATATGTACGTCCTTTTGCTTTGACTATATGATTGTGTGTTGTTAAATGTTATCCCCAGATTAACTGCATTCACTTCATAGCTTATCGGCGTATGGTTTATATATAATTTTTGGAGTAAAAGTGTTGAAATTTGCTTTTTATCAAATACCAAGCACTTCGATTTCTTAGGATTTGTACCCAAGCCATTTTCCTTTTCTTATTTTTCAATTAGTGACACCATTTTATTACTTATACGAACACAGGCATAAATTTCATCGTCAGCATATAAATGTACTTCACACTCAGACAGGATACTAGGGAGATTATTGACATACATATAGAAAACAAAAAGGGGCCTAGCACAGATCCCTGTGCCACTCCCCTGGATAAGTTCCGGAGAGAAGAAACTTGCGTCCCAGAAACGACTGCTTGATACCTATTCGTTAAGTACGACCTAATAAGCTTCGTCGCATTAGTGGAGAAATTAAACATATTCCTAAGCTTGGTACAGAGAATGTTATGATTCACAGAATCAAAAGCTTTGCTGTGGTGAAGGAGCGTCAAAAACGTTACGCAGTTACTGTCCAGTTCTTGTCTTATATCCTCAACAATATTAGTGATTGCAGTAATACAACTCCTTTTCTTACGGAATCCAGATTGTTTTTCATCAAGTAGAGAATTGTTAGCTAAGTATAGTTGAATCTGTGAGGACATAAGGTTTTCAAAGACTTTTGATAGAAAAGGTAATATTGAAATAGGTCTATAGTCATTGTTTGGCTTAGGAATTGGGAACATTTTGGCGTTTTTCCATATTGTCGGAAATGAGGACGTTGTAATAGCCGTGTTAAAAATATATGTAACATGGGGCAACATTAAGGGGAGCAAAAGCTTAACAAATTTTGGACTCATATTATCGAGACCAACAGCATCGGACTTGACATGCAGAATACTACCTAGGACATCACTTTGGTTTATACATATAAAGGGGGTTGAGTATTCAGGTACAGATTGCATGTTGCTTCAGGTACATCTATTTCCAAAAACTTGTTGTTTATTAATTCAACGTCCACCTCAGACTCTGCCTGCTGCTTACTTTTCCCAATACCTAACCGTTTTAGTTTGGTCCATGTGTATTTGAGTTAACACAGTTATTAAAATGTATATTATAATGCTCTCTTTGCTGATTCTATCTTTTTGTTTACTTTTACCCTAGCCCTTTGTATTGTTTGCGAAGTTCACCAATTCTGTATCGCTTCCACCGGAGGTAACTGGTTAGGTTTTTAAATTCAATACTGAACCACGGATTTTGCATTGACTTAATTACCTTGATCCTTAGGGGCACAAACTTGTTGAACAAGTTCTGGATATTGTTGGTTAAAATCTCTAATTGACAATCTACGTGACGAAGATGGTAAATACATGACCAGTCACAACAGAAAAATTCCGTTTTTAATTCATTATAGTTTATATTTTTGTAATCTCTATAAGTAAAAGAATTGATTTTGCTGTCAAAGGTCAAGTCGTATTTTAAAAATATTAAGTCATGAGGATACAATTTAAACGCTTAAGAACGAAAGCTATCAGGTTCAGGTCCAGCCGAAGCGTTAGTGAGAGATGTAGAAAGTGGATCAGGTGAATCATTAATGGACAAAAGTTCCTCCATACTGCTAATGCAAAGGGCACTCTCTCTTCGAGTGCAGCGTACGTGCACAAGGCCGCGTCGTGTAGAGACAGCCGTAAGGACTTTATGCTTTTTCATACGCATAGCCTCTTTAAAGATAAGATAATGCTCATTTAACAATTGCTCACTAACATAAATTATCGCTTCTGAATTGAAACCCAGAAACTGCAAGCTAAGTTGTTTCTTGTGCTCGCGCCTGTACATTCCGATTTGACCATGCAGATTAATCTTTTCGTATGTGTCTAACATTTTAATTATTATTACTGGATCCTTGTTCGGAAGATATCGGAGACTTTTGGTGGTGGAGTCAGCTGGAGATTAAAGCATAGCCTGTGATAGAGCGCTTCGGGATCTTCACCTTCGACATAGGGAACTCAGGTCACACGAGCTAGTCTTCCTGCATTGCTTTGCTAGCCTGGCCTCCAGTGAAGCCAACCTCTCGCCTGCTGCTTGTAGATTTGCCACATCCCGGTTCAGCGTCTCAACCCGCTCACCCATTCGGTCCCTCATGGAGCGAAGATCGGCAGCCTCGCGCTCCAACGTCAGGTCACGAGCATCCATTTGCTTTACTTCCCCGGCGTTTATGTCCAAGCGATTCATAAGGCGGCTGAGCATTCGCTGTTCAGCTTCCCAAACGGCCGACTCAATTTTCCCAATTTGTTCCTTTAAGCGAGTCTTTAGGAGCTCCAGAAGCTGTGGCGAATTTACATCCGAGAAGCGTTCGCTAGCAGTTCCAGCATTGTTGCGGGTACGTTTAGTGGGCGGAGCAAAACAACCCATGACTTTTTTTTAAGTGTATTTAGTTAGATTTGATATAAAGTTAGGTGTATTTGTCGGTTGGGTTTGTATAGTATCTTTCAGATTTAATCTTTAAGTTTAAGTTGTTTAGCTTGCATCCACTCACTGACAAACTGCCTTATCGACAATAGAGAATAGCTACTTTATCGGCGATAGCGTAGCTGATAGGGCAACCTTTTTCTCTCTTGCCCTCCGGAGATGCTGCCGCACCGATTGTCTCTCACTGAAGGTACACGCACAACCGCAGTTGTTGTTCAAGAAGAATTTATTTTCTGATTTAAAGAGTCAACTTTGTTTATTAGCACTATGTTGAGTTGTTAAAATTTTCAATATAATATAACTAATCTACTTTCCCAAAAGCCGTCGAGTTCAAGTTTCTAAATTATTCCATGACCCTAAAATAGCGTTTAGATACAGTTAAAAGCTTAAACCGAAATCGATTTTAAAATAAATATAAAAAAAAAATAAAATAAAAGAAATAAAAAAATGTTGTCCATAATTTGTAATCGATGGTATTTAGACAAATTAGAAAGGAGTACAAAGTATTTCGGATTACCTTTCCAACGACATTAGGCACTCGCATGTAGCTTTACAACTTCACAAGGTGCGGGGGAACGAAATTTAGCTATATATACCTGTTTTCCCGGCAATCCAGCGAGATTTTCCAAAAATGGTAGAACTACAGATTCTTATATAACGCTGTTTAACATCATCTAAAATTTTCAAGACATTTATTTAAAGTTTGGATACGAAAAAAAGTTAAATTCTCTGGCAGTATTATTAATAACTTTAAAACGTAAATTTTTCGACGCGTATTTTAAGTGATAATAGGCCTGCTATTAACCTTGTATTTATGCCCACCGGGCCCAACAGTTCAAATGTTCTAAGTTTTTACTTTTACACTTACACCGCTCTTTCTCCCAAACCAAATTTTTTTTAAATCTTGGTATTCAATCCTTTTAGTTTTTGCAATACCTTTCGATTAATGTAGATAATAGATTTTCATTTCTTGCATATATAGAGTCGCCTTCGAACACCATCCTGGTGCGCTTCGTCACTACGGAGAAAATACATTTTTATACCCTTGCAGAGGGGAGACGTTTCCGACCCCATAGAGTATATATATTCTTGTCCGTCTGTCCGTCCGTTTCTTCGCAAACTAGTCTCTCAGTTTTAAAGCTATCGGGCTGAAACTTTCCCAAAAGTCGTATTTATTTTGCAGGTAGTATATAGGTCGGAACCAGCCGGATCGGACAACTATATCTTATAGCTCCCATCGGAACAATCGGAAAAAATTTTTTTTTTATTATTTCTCTGGTGTTTTTTAACATATAAACTCCTACGCTTGGAAATAACAGTTTTTAATTAGTTCTGAACTTCGAATTAAATTTTATCAAAATCGGAAGACTATATCATATAGCTGCCATAGGAACGATCGGAAACTTGGTGGGAAAATAATATGAAACAAATTAAGGTTTCGGTGTTTTTTAACATATAACCTTCCTACGCTTGGAAATAACATTTTTTAATTAGTTCTAAATTTCAAATTTAGTTTTGTCAAAATCGGACGACCTATATCTTATAGCTGCAATAGGAACGATTAAAAAATTGGTGGAAAAATAAAATGAAACAAATGATACCTTCGGTGCTTTTTTAACATATAACCTCCTACGCTTGGAAATAACATTTTATAATTAGTTCTGAATTTCGAATTAAATTTTATCAAAATCGGACGAATATATCATAAGCTGCCATAGGAACGATCGGAAAATTGGTGGAAAAATAATGTGAAACAAATTATAGCTTCGGTGTTTTTTTAACATATAACCTCCTACGCTTGGAAATAAAAATTTTTTAATAATTTCTGAATTTAGAATTTAATTTGTAACGAACTGATTTTTGTTGTCTGCTCGCTACGAGATTCGTGCGGCTAGCTCAGTATATTGTGTGTTCGTCCCACCAAATTTATATTAACGTGACCGCCCAGTAGCTCAGTGAAAAAGCACAGAATTCACGGGTTCGAATTGGGTTTATTGCGGGTAGCGCGTATTGCGGAGCCCTGTAGCTCCCTGAAGATACTCGCAGCTCCCTGAAGATCCTCGCAGCTCCCTGAAGATCCTCGCAGCTCCCTGAAGACGCTCGCTCGCTGTTCGCTTCTCACGCGTGACTCGGTGATTGCTGGTAACGACTCGGACTCGCGAGGGGTATCAGCCGTACGGGCTTAGGGAAGCGTCACCGTTCTCGGACTAGGGTGAACAGAAGCTGCGCCCTCCAGGATCGCTCCTTTCGACACACCGCCGCCTGTCCCTTGCTCTGTCCCGGATGGTCCCACTGGGGTTTCTGCTCAGCCCGCGCAGACAGTCAAGGAGGAACGCCAGGAAGCTGCCTCGCGCTTTACTTCGCTTCCACGCCTAGTGTAAACGAACGTTCCACCCTAGCCTCACCCTTTTGCTTTTTGTCCGGGACGTTTCCGCGTGGCTTTTGGTACTCGGGGTTCGGGCACGCCGCTCCGGGACCTCGCAAGTCGAATCCGTAGGGCTCTCCTGGATAATTCCACTCGAGACCGTACCGATCGACCGCTCTCCCTTTTGGCTTGTTATATTTGGGGTTCGGGCACGCCGCTCCGGGACCTCGCAAGTCGACTCTGTAGGGCTCTCCTGGACAATTCCACTCGAGACCGTACCGATCGACCGCTCTCCCTTCTGGCTTGTTATACTCTCTCCAGGCGTAACGCCAGGACTTTGTGGATAGGGTTAATCGGCCGTGTGATGCCCTCTGGATCTCAGCTACCTGCGTCTCAATTCGGAGATTCCTGGTATCCCAATCCCGAACGTCTCGACGTAGCAATCTTGCTCCTCGTAGGCTCCCACGGCGCTGCTTCTCTGGCGACTCGACTTGCTGTTGCTCCCTTGTAGATTATCTGGTTGTTTTATTGTTCACTTTGGTATCTGAGTGATCTTGACGGTTTGACTCCTTGTGATCGACTGATCCAGCTGCCAGCGCTCTGCGGCCTTATATTGCACATGGCCCGCTGAATCTCTCCACTCCAAAGTCCAAAGTCCATGCCTCCTGGTTGACCCACTTGTCCTCCACGTACCGCTTCCCATCGATGCTCCGCCCACTGCTGTCGTCACGCTGATTCCCGTGATGCTGGTGGCACGCCTTTGTGCCGCTCCACTGCCGAGATGTGGCACTTCTTCTCCCGGTCCAAAGTTCACGGGAGAGTCAAAAGTCCGGTGGAGTCCCGTTATCCGCATTTGCACACGGCACTCTTGCCTTGCTCGCGAGGTCTCCAAACTCTCTCTCTCCACCCTGGGTCTCCAAACTCTCTCGATCTCCATCCTTGGTCTCCAAACTTTCTCGCTCTCCATCCTTGGTCTCCAAGCTCTCCTCGCCGCGCCGTTACTACGCGAATTCGCCGCGTATCTGGTAAACGGCCGGCCATCTGCTGCTGCTTCTATTTGTGGGGAGTTATTCAACTCCTCACAAATTGTATCAAAATCGGACGACTATATCTTATAGCTGCCACAGGAACGATCGGAATGCTTAGACCTATCGATGAATTTTCTTCACTATAATGCATTTATTATAGGCTTTAAAATGAAGATGGGGTCGGAAACGGTTCCTTCTTACATCCTGTTAGATACTTTTCCCCGAATACACACGAAACCGGTGCCGTGATACACAGAGCATTAATTATACCCATTACTCGTAGAGTAAAAGGGTATACTAGATTCGTCGGAAAGTATGTAACAGGCAGAAGGAAGCGTTTCCGACCCCATAAAGTATATATATTCTTGATCAGGATCACTAGCCGAGTCGATCTAGCCATGTCCGGCTGTCCGTCTGTCCGTATGAACGCTGAGATCTCGGAAACTATACAAGCTACAATACTGGGATTAGGCATGCAGATTCCTGAGATTCCTGCGCAGCGCAAGTTTGTTTCAGCAGAGTGCCACGCCCACTCTAACGCCCACAAACCGCCCAAAACTGTGGCTCCTACAGTGTTGATGCTAGAATTAAAATGTAAACTGAAATGTATTGTTCTCGTCAATACCTATCGATTGACCAAAAAATGTTTGCCACGCCCACTCTAACGCCACTCTAACCGCCCAAGCCTGTGGCGCCCATAATTTTCATACTAGATAAAAAATTTCAACTGAAATGTATTGGTCTCCTCAATTCCTACCGATTGATCCAAAAAAAAGTTTGCCATGCCCAATCTAACGCCCACAAACCGTCCAAGCCTGTGGCGCCCACAATTTTCATGCAAGATTAAAAATTTTAACTGAAAAGTATTGGTCTCGTCAATACCTATCGATTGATAAAAAAAATTTTCCACGCCCACTCTAACGCCCATAACGCTTAAATCTGTCTACCGCCGGTAGGTGGCGCATTTCAATCCCGCTTTGCTGCTTGCATATCTCCATTTCCCTTTGGTCCCTGAGCTGAGTAAGGGGTATCTGATAGTCGAGGCACTCGACTATAGCGTTCTTCCTTGTTTTAAAATAAAAATGCGATTGGTACGATTCCTATCATTTATATAGGTATTGATCAATAAAATCAATTTTAATTTACACTGAAAGAAAATCTTCAAAGATGTGGGCGCCAGACAGACTTTATGGGTTATGGGCGTTGTAGTGGGCGGTGCACTCCGCTAACCCTCTAAATGTTATAGTTTCCAAGATCTTAGCGTTCACGCGGACAGACAGATGGACGGATATATATACTTCATAGGGACGGAAGCGCTTCCTTCTACCTGTTACATACTTTCCGATGAAAAAATACCCGTTACCCTATATTAGCGGTCGGCAGCGGCCTATTTAGTGAGCATAGAAAAGTGTTCTCCCCATCCTCTGCTCGCTCACGTATAACGTAGATGTTCGTGTGACTTCGGCATGGGTCTTCGGGTCATTTTTTTCTCAGCTTCGGCGCGCTTTTTTGTTGCTGCCGCAGAGGATCCCAGTGCAAAGCAGAGAAACGTTAGGCTTCAGCACGCCGCGCGCGACCCTGCAAGGAAAAGGGCGATATTTCTATCGCCTGTCGTCCAGGAGTCACTTCTTAGTAACTTCTGCGCAATAGAAACACGATTCAAAGTCACTTCTGGACAATAGAAAGACAATAGTACACATTTTACAAAAACAAAAAGGGTCGGGATCGCGAAGAAGTAATTTCTGAGACACTTCTGCGCGATAGAAAGACGATAGTACACATTTTACAAAAACAAAATTAATGGAAAAAATCAAGCCATAAAAAGAGGTCGCGGTAATTTTCCGTTACCCCTTTTTTTTCTGAAAATTTGTTGGGTTCCTTTTGACCCACGCTATTATTTTTCGCCCGAGCGTCATTTCGTTGCCCGATTTGTCTGCGTACAGTGCGGTTTTGTATTAATTTTGTGCGTTTTAAAAATATTGCTTTGTTTTTTCTAAATGTTATTGATTGCTTAACATATTTAAATATCCCCCTCAACAAAGGGTGCGAAATTACGCGCTTATCGTGAGCTGTACGATTATTTAAAGCTATTTATGGACAAGCTAGCTGTGGACATTACTTGGCGTGTAACTGCGGATCCAACGATTCTCAACATACTTCATTGTAAAAGGTAATGTCTTCTAGTTTATTATACCCGTTACTCGTAGAGTAAAAGGGTATACTAGATTCGTCGGAAAGTATGTAACAGGCAGAAGGAAGCGTTTCCGACCCCATAAAGTATATATATTCTTGATCAGGATCACTAGCCGAGTCGATCTAGCCATGTCCGTCTGTCCGTCTGTCCGTCTGCCCGTCTGTCTGTCCGGATGAACGCTGAGATCTCGGAAACTATGAGAGCTAGGCTATTGAGATTTGGCGTACAGATTCCTGAGCTTCTTACGCAGCGCAAGTTTGTTTCAGTAGACTGCCACGCCCACTCTAACGCCCACAAACCGCCCAAAACTGTAACTCCTACAGTTTTGATGCTAGATCATCAATACCTATCGATTGACCTAAAAAAAAAGTTGCCACGCCCACTTAAACGCCCACAAACCGCGAAAACCTGTGACGCCCGCAATTTGCATGCTAGATACAAAATTTTAACTGAAATGTATTGGTGTCGTCAATACCTATCGATTGATCCAAAAATAAATTTGCCACGCCCACTCTAACGCCCATAACGCTTAAATCTGTCTACCGCCGGTAGGTGGCGCATTTTAATCTCGCTTTGCTGCTTGCATATCTCCATTTCCCTTTGAGTAACGGGTATCTGATAGTCGAGGTACTCGACTATAGCGTTCTTCCTTGTTTTTACTTTGACTGAACAAAAAATAATTTTTGTTTCTGTTTCCTTTAGAAATGGTTATTAATAAATTTCTTATGTCGACGGAGCTGGACCTAAATAACAGTGATCACCAAAATTTCCTACATGCCAGTGACCGTGTATACAAGCGGACAAAGCCCTTGTACAAATAATAAATGCAAAATTTTGAAAGTATAAAAAAATATGTTTTTATTCAAGTTTTTCCAATTGGGAAAGACTCTTCTAGATGTCTTCTACAAGCAAATGTAAAGTCACCTCGGAGTAACTTCCAGAAGTGACTACGGCGACACTTTTAGAAGTTACTTCGGCGATATCGCAATCGGATCGCGGAAGTGACTCCCGTCGGGAAGAAATGTGCCACTTCGGCGGCACTTCTATGAGTGACTTCGGCGACACTTCCAGAAGTTACTTCGGCGATAGCGCACTAGGATCGCGGAAGTGACTCCCGTCGGGAAGAAATGTGCCACTTCGGCGGCACTTCTCGGAGTCACTTCGGCGACACTTCCAGAAGTGACTTCGGCGACACTTCCAGAAGTAACGCAGAAGTGACTTCGAGAAGTGTCGCCGAAGTGGCACATTTCTTCCCGACGGGAGTCACTTCCGCGATCCGAATGCGATATCGCGGACGATCGTTTTCATCTTCTTGAAGTCACTTAATAGAGCCTTCCGCGATAGAAAATGCTTGCAGGGAAATCTCATTAAATGGTGCTTTACAAAATTTCAGCTCGTTCCGACTTATATACAAGCTGCAATAGAAATACTACTTTTGGCAAAGTTTCATCCCGATAGCTTTAAAACTGAGAGACTAGTTATCGTAGAAACGGCCAGACGGACATGGCTATATCGACTCGTCTAATAATACTGACTAACAATATATATACTTTATGGGGTCGGAAACGTCTCCATCACTGCGTTTTTTATACGATGCTTTAAATCTCAAACTATCTAAAATTTTATAATCTATTCATTAACGCAATTCGTTAAATGTTTGCGAGCTTGAACGCTCCATTGAATTAGGCCAATAAATAAAATGTTCTGTAAAAAAATTTAACGCTCATGCTGCGTTTTTTTCTTTTGGGGGAAAATCGAAATACTAGAACTGAAAACTTTTACCAAACCAGCTATAGTGTAGTAGAGGAGTCATTTAATAAAATAATTAAAACTGAGAGACTAGTTTGCGTAGAAACGGACAGACGGACATGGCTATATCGACTCGTCTAGCAATGCTGATTAATAATATATAAACTTTATGGGGTCGGAAACATCTCCATCACTGCGTTTTTTATACGATGCTTTAAATCTCAAACTATCTAAAATTTTATAATCTATTCATTAAGGCAATTCGTTAAATGTTTGCGAAAAAAAGCTTGAACGCTCCATTGAATTAGGCCAATAAATAAAATATTCTGTAAAAAAATTTAACGCACTATCATAGCAATACTTTCTTTACGAAATTTTAATTTTGGCACTTTTATGGTAAACAACTCCAAAAATTGAAGACCAATCATAAAAAGTGACACCAGCGTATACAGGGACCCATATTAGTCTAGAAAATGCGGTTTGAAAGCTGAACTCTGAAAAAATGTATATTTGTAAACTAGTTTTATTTTTTTTACCATTTTCTCCGTTTATTTTCAGGGGAAAAGCAATCAAAGCACGAAGATCTAAAGGAAATGAACGACGTTTCCTCCGGCATGGCAAGTCGGATAATTCAGCTTTACCTGGAAGAAATTCTTCAATGTTTCCTAAATCGTGACAACACAGTACGTTTATGGGCTGTTAAAGTAATACAGATTGTTCTTCGTCAAGGATTGGTTCATCCTGTTCGAATGGTTCCGTACTTAATATGTCTAAGCACTGATCCAAAGGTAGAGGTTAGTATTAAATTTTTTATTGTGGATTTTGACATCTTAAGAATTTAAAATTTTATTAGTCCGCCCATAGAGCCGATGCCTTATTAAAAGATATCGATAAAACATATTCTGGATTTGTTAATATGAAAGTGCAATTTGGACTACATCTCTGTTTTAAGTTACAAAAAGTATTACAAATAAACAACACGGGAAAACTTGAAGTAATTAGAGGTTTTGCGTAAGTTTTTATTGTCAATGTGTATGTAACTTCGTAATTAAATCAAAACTTGTATATTTAAGGAGTCGCGGACCGGATAATGTAACAACTGCTTTAAACGACTTTCTTTATTCACTACTTCGTACAACTAAGCCACAGAGGCGTGCATTGGTACAAACAGTTACCAAACAGTTCGATGATCAGAAAACATCATTACAACAACTTTTGTACATTGCCGATAATCTGGCTTACTTCCCATATGTAGTTCAAGATGAGCCTCTATATTTGATACATCAAATAGATTTACTTATATCAATGGCAGGAACACATTTACTCGCAACTTTTAAGGAACATTTGAAACCATGTGACAAAGAACGAGATGTATTGGAAGATGATGATGATGTTGAAGATCCCCAGGTTTTGTTCAATCGATTGCCCGAAGAAATGACGGAAATAAAAAAATGTATAACATCTGCCCAAGCATGCATGCTGCTTTTAGTACTAAAAGATCATTTAAAGGATATGTATGGGATTACTGATAGTAAAATTTCAAGATATTCGCCATCCGAACAAAAATTATATGAAAAAGTAGTGACACGTAGAAGTGTTACTGACTTTAACCCGAAAACAACTATTGATGTGATCAAGAAACAGATGTCACAACAAATATTGAGCGAAGACATCCACTTTCCATTTACCAACGAGGAAAAATTGGACCTTGTTGTAAAGTACCTAGATGTATGTATACCAATCAATTTTTAAATATACTCTAATCTGGGTTTTAGTTTAAGCAACTTATGTTAAAACTGGATCCAGAAGATGCAGACTCGGATGCTGAAGAATCCCGAAATAAATCTATTTTAAATCCGTCTTCTACTTCTGATGGTTACCCTAACTTAACAAAAAATTCACACCTCGCCAGTGATGGATACACTGTAAGTATAGACAAAGCGCACTGCAGGAATCATTAAGAATAAATAAAAATTATTTGAGCCGAACATATCTTTGATTCAATGGCCTGTTCGAAGCCAATTTTTGTTAGTAGTCTAGAACAGGGGCCCCGATTTCTTTAGAATTTTTCTCTCAAAAACTTTGAATCCCTGTCCAATGATTATGCAGCAAGGCACTTAAAGACTTTTTTGCCATTGCCTCTTTATATTTTTTTAAGACCCCTAGCATGCACTTTTTTTAGCAAAGGGCAAATTGCATAAATCTGAACGCCTTGTAAGTATTTAATCATAATTTTCAACAAAGCACAGTTTGGATCGGTTTGTGGGCGTAAGAACTAACTTGCCCTGCGCAAGAATGCATGTATACTCGTAATTGTGAAATTCTAGCTTTTATTTTTTCCTATTGCTAGTTTGAATCGACTATTGATCCTGATCTAACTGTTACACGACGAATCTAGTATACCCCATTACTCTACGAGTTACGGGTATAAAAACAATTGTGAATGCTTATCTAGCATAACACTTAAACCTTTATAATTTAATTACAAAACAACAACGCATTTTTGCGGATAAACATATGGACCTAATTTAATTCTTAATTTATTTAATATTTTCGCGATTTTTGGAGAACTAGTGCACCATTTTACGTTAGTCGTAAAGTAAAAGGGTGTATGGAAACTCTACAAGCAGAAAGATAAAAAAGGATTTTCGGTATTTTTCTTAAAGTAAACACAATATTTTAGTTAAAAAAAAAACCACAACCAAGAAAGTATATATATAATATATTCATACAAATTAATTTGTTAAACAATTTGGAAGAAAATTGAAATAATCATGTCTTCGAAACAATTTTAGTACTTTCTTTTGTCAATTAAAAACATTCATAAGATAATGTTAAAATAATGCTGAAAAAAATTAAGACAAAATATTGAAAACGGTTTGAGTTATAAAACGTGCCGACTTCAAAAACTCACTCTTCGATAAATCGATAATGGGAGGATAGTGGATATCAAAAACATGAATTATACCATTCCACATGTCAATTCATCTAAAAAGATGGGTACGAATAGTTTTTCTCTTTATTTAGGTAAACTAATGATTGTGGTTACTTCACGCACCTGAAAAATTTTATGTTATTTAAAAACGTACTATTTTTACCCGTTACTCGTGAGGTCTAGACCACACTTAGACCACTGTGGATCCTTTGTGATACCGTATGATCTCACTTGTCTAGTTCCCCATCTTAAGATGCCAACCTTTGAATCGGCTGGCTAATATTTCTCCAATCCAGAGGATTTTATGAAAATATTAACATTAACGGCTAGATCATTTATCATTATTTTCATTTGATAATTAAAACATAATCCCATTTCATTTTACCAAAATCTTCAAAAGTAGACGCTAGGCAGCTAGCTTTTATAATTTTCGAGATATTAGCGTCATATGCCCGGACAGGTAGACGGACATAGCTAGATCGACTCGGCTAGTGATCCTTATTTAAAACATATATACATCCTAGCTGTTATAATTTTTGAGATCTCAGCGTTCATACGCACGGACAGGTATTTAAAAATATATAATTTAGGGTCGGAAACGCTTACATACTTTTCAACGAATATATTATACTCTCTTACTCTACGAGGTAACGGGTATTAAAATACCGGAATAGAAGAAAACATGATCAAAAATAACTGTGCTTTAATTTTTCCCATTAATTATCCGATCGTTCCTATGGCAACTTAATTATATCATTCGTAAAATTTTTTAAAAATTGATTCAGAATTCTGAAGTACAAATGAAATTATATTCTTAAAAGTAGAAGATAGTGGAGCTTTGACTAAAAAATATATATTTTTTAAAAAGATTTTTCCGATAATTTTTTGGGAAATGTAATAGAAAGTTTTATGATGCCGATCAAGAATTTATATACTTTATGGGGTCGAAAACGTCTCCTGCACTGCGTTGCAAACTCCTATCTATACATATACAAAGTCTTCATAAGTATGGGCGCTAGACGGGGCTACTCTACGAATAACGGGTAAATAAAGTTAAATTTACAAAATTCTAGGGCACTTCTATTGGCCACGTCATTGACGTCAACGCCACGCCTATATACAACTTTGCGATAAGTATCATTATCAAGTATCATTATATCCTTTGCAAGGGTATTAAAAGTGCGGTCAGGACATGGTTTGATGGAGGCTGGATTTGGGAAAGCATGCCTAATCCCGTACTATTTTCTAGAAACTGACTGAACTGAATATGTTTACCGAAAACGAAGTATAACCATCTTTGTATTATTTTGACATTAATTGTGCGATCGTTTCTGTTCGTTCCTTTGACTCTAATTATCCGATCGTTTCCATGGCAGCTATATGATAACGTCGCCCGATTCCTTTTCAATTTTATTCGAAACTCTGAAATAACAAAAGAATGATATTCGCAAGAGTAGAAGGTATGTGTCAAAAAACACAGAAGTTTTATTTTTTTTTTTTACATTTTTCTAAAAATATTTTTTTTATCATTCCTGTGGGAGCTATAGCATATAATTCACCGATCCGGCTCGTTCCGACTTAATACCTGCTATAGAAATAAGACTTAGGAAGGTTTCGTCCCGACAGCCTTACAACTAAGGGATTAGTTTGCGTACAAACGAACAGACGGACATGTCTAGACCGACTCGACTTGTGATGCTGATCAAGAATATATATTCTAACTGGGGTCGAAAACGCCTCCTTCACTGCGTAAAAAACTTCTGATTGAAATCAATATACCTTTTGCAAGGGTATAAACACCCGATGCGATACTTGCAAAAGTATCTTAATGGAATCAAAAGATAACACAATATGACGCTACGGGCGAATCCAGATGCTCCGATTACAACGAGACAAACCATTAAATACAGACATGCGAGAAATTTCAGAGCTATCACTTTTAACATCAACAGAAATAAACCAATGGAATGGAATGTTGGCAAAAAGGGACTAACATTAAACCAAAATAATATATTAAAATGTCCTAAGCTTAAGAATTTTTTAAAATTCACTGCCGTTTGATAGCTTAAACGCTATAAAGAAATGCCTGGCAGAGCGCGAAAAAAAGCTTTTCAAACTAGCTTTTATCGAAACAACGTTATGTCAACTAGTAGCCACGATATCTCAAACACTAATTGACCCATCGTTTTTATAGTAATAGTATATATTGAGCAAACATGATTTAAAAATCAAACATATTTTATTTTTACTTAAGATAATAAATAAAAATAAAATTTTAGTTGTTGTAGGTTTTTTTTTTTACAAAAATTATAAAAAACCATTAAAAAACAGTAGCGCAATTTGCCACACCTACTCGAACGCCCACAAACAGCCCAAGACTGTATCGCCCCAATTTATTTGCTAGAATACAAATTTTAACATAAATGCCCTTCAGTTCCAAAAAAAAGTTTCACTGTGAATCAACTTGTGAATCCCGTGGGGCATGTCCTCTTGCACAAATGAAGACGCTCCATATAGAAAATTGTATGGGATGTCCGCATTTTCACAAGTGAAAATTCAAATGAAAATTTTTCGAAGTCCCACGGAAATTCACTTGTTCCTAATACTCATTTTTCGTATGGCCTGTCACGTGCCGGTGACACGTCCCACGTGAAATCACTTGTGAAAATCAGAATATTTCCAATGAGTTTTCTCTTATGAAAACATAGAATTTAGAGTACATACATTTTTATTTACTTTTAAATTTATTTTAATTAAATAGTGTTATTTAGGTTTTCTGTTAAAGGACAATTATTGTTAGTAAGCCTAGTTTAATGTTACGTTAATTTGCTTTTCACATTGGCAATCGCCTTCCTTAAACCTTTGTACGGGTCCTCCGAATCCTTGGCCAACGCTCTTGAAAAAATTCATGGGCATATGTTAAAAAAATGCGATTTATTTATTTATTTGCATATTTACCTTTTAGAGCTGTGTTTTACCCTTTGCAGGATTTTTATTGGCGCAAAACATTTCATAATTACGGAACCCATTGAATACCCTAATACTTTAAGATCAATGCACAACATCTTAAACTTAATGTAAGACTTACCTGACTTTATTATTTTCACTTCAAAAAACGAAAGAAGTAAATCAGCTGCGCACAATTTAAGTGGCTGCTTCCCTTTCAAAAACTCAAACAGAATGAACCAAGTCTTCCTCTCACCCCTTTACTTGATTTCTTTTGTTTTCTCTTCGCTGACTACATACTCTTAACTTTCTGAGTAAAAAATACAAAATGAATTTTTTAAAATTAGTACTATTAAAATGTTTTAAATATTTAAAAAAAATTTAACGGACTAAATTTCTATAACTTAACTAAAAAATTACATTGTAATATTAATGCCGAAATTTGTCTCTGAGAGCTGACGTCAACAGCAGCACAGTGTTTTAGGCACAAAAAAAAAAACAAAAAAGCTTTTTGCATTGAGCCATGTCACCGCGTCCCTACTGCAAAACTGAAGGGTGTATTAGTTTTGTTAATACCTATCAATTGACCTACAAATGTTTGCCACGCCCATGACGCTTAAATCTGTCTGACACCCACGTTTTTAAACGTTTATAACCCTTACTCGTAGAGTAAAAGGGGTTAATAGATTCGTAGGAAAGTATGTAACAGGCAGAAGGAAGCGTTTTCGACACCATAAAGTATATATATTCTTGATCAGGATCATTAGCCGAGTCGATTTAGCCATGTTCGTCTGCCCGTCTGTACGTAAGAACGCTGAGATCTCGGAAACTATTAGAGCTAGGCTGTTAGGACTTGGCATGCACATTCCTGGGCTTATTGCGCAGCGCAAGTTTGTTTCAGCAGGGTGCCACGCCCACTCCAACGCCCACAAACCGACCAAAACGGTGGTTCCTACAGTTTTGATGTTAGAATCAAAATTTTAACTGAAATGTATTGTTCTCATCAATATAATAAAAGTTAATATAAAACACGCCCACTTTAAC